TTACCGCCCCACTCCCTTGATTTCCTGCCTGCCCAGAGGAGGCTATCACAGCCGGGGAAGGAGAGCCATGTCACAAGGAGAAAGAAGGGTGACTTCAGGTGATCAGCCCAGGGATTTGGTTATGAGAATGAACCCAAAGAAGGTTGCCATGGATGTGTGGCTGCAACACCCAATCCCCTTCTCCCCTCCTGCCCTCCCCTCCCGCCCACCCCTACAGTAGGAGGTCTGAGGCAGCTCAGTGGTTCCGTTAGGAGTGCTCCACTCTGGAGGCCTGCACTGAGGTCTCTAACCTCTGGGCCACCAGGCCCCAGAAGCCAAGACCTCCATGTTGTTACACATAGGGTCAGAGGCTCTGGCGGAGGCCCTTGAGAGCACAGTCATCGACTCCCTGCCCCTGGCGTAATTCAGCCAGAAAGATCAGAGGCCGGGCTTGTCACTCTGCCAAGGGCGACTCCATGAAGGAAGAAGCCAAGACCTGGTCCACAAAGACAAAGAAGAAAGAAGATGGGCTTCCATTCATGCCATGAACTTCTTCTCACAGGTCCCCTGGGTGCTTGCTGGGCCTCTGAGTGTTCAGACGGCCCTGAAAGGCATTCTGGAATCAACTGCTGGCTCTCCTGTGGGAATTCCTGTCCCTCTGTTGCCCAGAGCCTTCCTCTTAGGGGCTCCTTACCCCGTTTCCATGCCAAGGAACCGAAGTGGCTCTCAGCCTGTGTCAGGTGTGGCAGGCTGCCCCACAAGGCTGTAGGGGTGCATGGCTGCACTGCCCTTGGGAGGGGTGTCGGGTATGGGGGCGCTTTCCCAGCCCCCGGCTACCAACCCAGGAATCCCTCCAGATCACTGAAGGATGTGTGAACTCTCCCAGCACAGGCCAGGCCCTGAGGCCTCGGCAGCAGGACACCCCAGTTCAGGTGACCACCCAAACCTGCCCGCCCCCCAAACAGTTGACGAGGAGCTCAAGAACATGGCGTGAGCAATGGAAAACCCTAGATCTTTCCACCAAGGCAGCTCTGTGGGTTTGGAGAAAGTGATTCAGAAACAGGAAGCCAGGGAAACAGGATTTGACAGACGGACGGACGGACGGACGGACGGCCAAGACTCAGAGACTCCCGACAGTCATGCTGTTGTAACTGGCACCACGTAGGGGCTAGGTTCTCAGAGTATCGTCCTCTCTGCTCCTTGTTAAACTTAAGCCAGCCTGAGGCCAGGGCTGAGACAGGCTAGCAGGAAGGGAAAGGATCAGCAAGTCCGGCTGCCTTTGTAGAAAACCCTGCTCAAATGAACAGCGTTTTAAAACTCACGGAAGAATGGGGGCACCCCGACCACCCAGGATCACGAACTTGTGCAGGGCACTTTCGCTCATCATCTTTATCAAAGCTCCTTTTATCTTTATTATAATTCTCCAGCCCACCTTCATTTTTACACCGGCAGGAATGAGTTCGGAGAAGTCAAGTAACTTGTCCAAAACCAGGTAGGACGAAAAACCAGAATTAGCATCCCACCTCCCAAGAGCTAAAATGCCAAGTAAGGCTTGCAGGGCTAAGAGCCAAGGAGCCTGAGAAATGCAGCCACGTGTGCCTCAGCTTAGGACATTCCATCAAAGGAAACATGACCCAGACAGCACAGGGGAGGTCTGCTGGAACTGCCCCAGACCTGGCTATGTGACCTTGGAGAGAGCAGGACACCTCTTTGAACCCACTGCTAGTGTGGGCACGAAAACAGGAAGGTGATTCCTGATGAGCTTGTGGTAGAGGAAGTGAATCAAACTTGCCAGGCCCGTTAGACCTCTCCCTGAGCGAATGGGTGTGGGTAACCTCAGGACCTGGAAGCAGAAACTCCATACCTGTCCTCCCCCCAGGGCCCAGGGAGCCAGGCCCAGAGCGGCCTGCTGCCAACCTCCGATTGGAGTGTGAGAAGTCGCAGGGCCTGAGTCACTTGGAGCCCGGCCCAGGGAGGTGGGCAGGCTGCCCCAGTGTGGCTCACCCAGCCTTGTCCAAGGTCAACCCAGCCAGCCTCCTGCCTTAAGAGGGCCTGTTCATGAAGGCTATGGCCTGCTCTGCCCCAGGGGTGAGGCAGTCTGAGGACCAGAGGGCTGGGCTCACAGCGGACCCCGGGAAGGCTGTGTGACTTGGGAAAATGATTTCAGGCTTCCGAACCTCAGCTCCCTTGCTGGCAGAAGCAGTGTGTATGTGGGAGGGATGCTGGGGTGGAACTTATGTGGGTTCGTGGGATGGAGGAAGTCCCTGCTGGGACAGGCCGGGATGAGCTGGTCACAGGCCTTGGGTACACCACGCTACACTTGCTTCCTGAGTAAATCCTGTGGCTTTAAGTACCCTTTTCCAGTAGCCTGCTGGCTTTCGCTCTTGGATTTCCTACAGACATTCCCTCCACCCCACACCTATCCAGTCTACTATGGCCTCCACCCAGGTGCCCACCAGCGGCTCTGACAGAGTGGGTCAGTCCAATCCAGCCTGTGCCTCCTGTCTGTATGCCAGCTCTG